CCACACGAGATTTGATTTGGTTAATGTTAGTGTTGAAGTCCTTCATGAAACTTTTAATTTTGTTTTTAAAGATTTTTACTGGGCTTATTGATTCCATTTCAGGTTTAACTTTCATTAATTTGTGATTCATTTCCTAATAACAATTGAACATTGTACACTTAATATAACAAACGGTTTTAAAATCATTCACTTTATTTTATTCATTATTTAAATTTTACTAGGTGGGGCGACTCTTTTCGGCCTAGGAATACTTCTGGGAAGTATCTAGCTGTAAATCGACGTATAGCCGATATCCGTCCGGATGAGAGGTCAGCAGAAGGTACAAAAGGGAAGGTGTACGATCTTCCACATCTGCATCCGCGTAGGCAAAGTAACCAATTGAGTCAGACCATATGCCAAGGCAAAACAAAAGTCATAAACAGATCTCCTCTGGGGGGCGTTAAAATTGCCAAGGATCACGATGTCTGCGGATCAGATCTGCTGTAGCACGGAATGTGTAGCCATTTGGACGTGGTCAATGAGTTGGACTGTTTCGGCGTTATCGCTATGGGACCTATAGAGGCACCTGTATACGTGGGGATGATCGTCGCTGGCTACGCGCAGCCATAGGATGGACAGGTCCGTACCTTCAAGACTGCCGAGGTGTCAAAAACACATGTCCTCTCTGACGTATACGCAAACTTCAGCCCGGGGCACAAATAAGTGTTCTAATTTGTACCCCGGGTAGGAGATATGAAATATCAGCTGAAGAGGACACCTGAGTCTCGGTTAAAAAGAGCAAGGCCGGCTTCGCCGTCTCCATATGGTATATGGTAGTAGACTTCGTCAAGATTGGTATAAAGTCCCATGATGTTGAAAAAATTCACGGATAGCGTGACAGGGGAGTCGCCTTGGTCTTATTTCACCGCTCGCCCCGAGCTGTTTTAGTCGCTAGCGGAATTGCGCCCCCCCCCCCACCGAACACGCGGGACAGCCTGAGCACCCACGCTCAGGAAGAGTAGGACAACTTCGTCGTGGATGCTCAGGGATGCTCTGTCACCGTGCCGGTACCCTCCTCGGTAAACGCTTCCCCATCCCAACCATAAATCTCTACTTCATGCTGGTTTTCTGTGAGGTCATGGTTCCCTGGTTCGAGACGGCCCATACGTGCGACATCAAAAGCTGCCGCGTGTCTCTACCATAGACATCTACCACTATCCTCGATTCAGAATCAAAATGCAGAAGCTTGTCCCTATAAACTAAGATGGAATGCCTCGTTTCCAGTAAAAAAGGGTTTCCGGTTCTCTACACTCACCATTCGAAACCAGCATCATTGTTGGAACGTGAGAGCGTAGGCGTTCCACGGTCAAGCCGGCCGATTTGTGCTACAAGCTACAACTATAATATATAGACAAACGAGCAATACAGTATTGATTGCCAATATTGTCAATACTGCAGCGTACTAATTCTAATAAGTTATACCTAATATGACCATAATAATTATGTAAATAATAATAGGTATTAAAATTGTACTTTGTTATTAAATCACATCACAGAAATATACTAAACAGGAGTATAATATAAACAATTAGTGATTTATAACTTACAGCATTAGCCATAGAGATGCAAAATAGTATAACTGTTAAATTAAAGTATATAACTGTAAGATATTTCATATTGTCGGTTATGCGCTTAAGTACTTTTAAATTTTGGAGATCAAATAAAATGTATGTTTTGCAGACTTGTTCCTTTTACTGCCAATACTAAAATTATTGCGAAATTTTTATTACGCACGGCAAATACTTTATTACTATTGTTGTAAATATAATCGGTAGAAATATTTTGCATCAAGTACTGGACGAGCAGTTATGTTTGCTCTTTCACTAGGGCACTTAAACGACAAATCAAAGGGTTACAGTTTTCCACGTAAAGAACCCTATATTTGTTGTTTTACAAATACGAATAATACTAGTCCTAAATTAAAAAAAAATTCATGCCAATTTAAACAGTCGTGATTCTCGCATATCCACAGCTGTGGATGGTTTATACATCTTTTATGTCAAAATTAGGCAATATGTCGATGAGATATTCAACCTTCAACAAATTGGTGAAACATGCTTAAGTATTAAATACTCGGACGGAATTCATAAAATTACGAAAGCTATTCCAAAAGACGGCAAGTAATGTCAGATCCACCTATAATCGTACCAGTTACCTACCAGATTTCTCATGATCATGTCAATGTTAACCTCACTAAAATTCTTTTAAGCAAGTGTTAGAAGTTTACTAAAATCAAACAAAATTGACAAACTAAGATGCATCATTAAATCCTTTAATTATACTATACATTAAAAAAGGAGTGTCAATATACGTGCGCAATGACACACCAACAGAAGAAAAGTTTTTTGTTTACCGACCACCAACAACAGCTAATATTGAAAACTCTTTCGAATTTTTTTCGATGCAGTTGAAGTAAAGGAAAAGAAAAATAGTTTTTGGCAATTTTAATACAAATATTTTGAATAAATACCGATAGAGTAAGGAATATAATTATATATTTCAAGGGTCAGAATATAAAATACTTAATAAATTTACTAAATATACATAAAATACATAAAATATTGTACCAGAGAAACAGAAACTTTCAAATCAATCCTTGACAATCTCTGTACAAATACTAACAATGATTTTCATATGGCTATAATAGATTCACTTCTATCAGATCATAAATAAAATTACGGTGAATTTAAAAAATATAGAAGGAACTCAAGAAGAAAATTAATTATGACACAATAAATTATGATAATCTCTACAAGTGATGACTTATCGAACTGAGAAGTGGAACTTCATAGCTGACCTTGTTATGAATAAAAATAATGAGCTATACTCGGGGTTTCTCTGAGTGATAAATTTATAAATGAGGATATCCGCAGTAGAACCAGAGTGACCGACGTAGTCCAACGGATTAGTAAGCTGAAGTTTTTTTTTTTGCGCCCGAAGCAAATATGGGCAACCCTCTGGAAAGCGGGGGAGGGAGGCGGTGAATGCTCATAACATATGTGGAGACTTTTACCCACTAAACACCGCCTTTTAGAGACTGGCTTAACGGTCTAACTAGAGATCTCTAAGCCGTATACGAACGCGACCCTCCTTGGCAGAAAGGAGGGCGCAAGGCTGAAGTGGCAATGGACCGGTTATATAGCTCGAAGAACCGACAACAGATGGGGAAAAAGGTTCTCGAGTATGCTACGCTGTATACTTGGCCTAAGAGTTGTACTGTTAGGCCAAGTATACAGCGACCCCCCACTCCACTAGATGGAGTGACGACCTGGTAAGACATGCAGGAAGTAGATAGATGCAGGTGACTCAGGAACGTGCTTTGTGGCATTCCTTGGGGGAGGCCTATGGTCAGCTGTGGACTTGTGAAGGGTTGTGATGACGATGATGATGATGAATCTCCACAAGGATATGGCTGGAAATAATCTTCAGATGATACATCACGACTATAATCGATAGGAAAGTTTCATTAAAGACAATATTGAGGACTTATTGTCTTCAATATTGTCTTTAATGAAACTATTAAATACAAAATATAAAATTTGCCCCAAGACGTCTGGGTAAACAAACAGGTATTAAACGAAATCCGAAACCGTAAAATGCTGTCGAAAAATGGAAAACAAGACAGATAATATTGAATTAAAGAATGATTATAATATTGTGTGTAGAGGTACCTCTACATTCCATAGTACTCTTTATGTACTGAGTCATGGATACTAAACTACACTGAGTGACTACCTAAACAGCTTGAAATAGAAATCTAAAATTTGGACCGTATGTTAGCCACCTACAGTCCAAATTTTATGACATAGAAATCCGCTATGAAATTATTTTAAAAAATTCGATACCTGAGAGTGTGAAATAAGAGTGTTACAGTTTATTATTTTATTACAAAAATATTTTACAGGGTTTTACTTAGGGCTTACTGAGAGTAGTATCGAGTCATCATCATCGAGTATACTTACCGTTACGGTACAGGGCGCAGGGGCAGAGGGTATCAAATTTTTCATGGAAATAAAATATTTTGGTATTTCTTAAAACCACCACTTATCGGGGGAACGGAAGGGGACCTCTTACGGTTTTAAAACAAGGGTTCAAATTTTGTATGAAAAATAATGTACTCAATCTACAGCTCAAACTGCTGAATATAGATGTGTGAAATTAGAACAATAACTTCCATTGCGGTCATTTTGTTGTTTATTTACAATATAGACAAAAAAAAACAAATATAATATATATTTGTTGTTTATTTACTATATATTAAAGTATATAACTTTTAAAACAAAACAATAATCTTGTGAAACTATATATCTATGTTAATTCATTTTAAAATAACTGCCTTTGTACGTAACTTTGTAACATAGAGTTATATAAGTAGTTACGGTAAAGAAGTTAAGGAGTCCATCGCAGACGAACAACGTGACATTTAATATTCATAAAATTATATATATACATATATATATATATATATATATATATATATATATATATATATATATATATATATATATATATTTATTTGTACATATTATGATAAGGACTGAATGAAGCTGTGTGTAAAATTCATAACATTACGAGGAATTGCGAATTTAAAAAGAGATGAAGCATTTGCATTAATCTCCTGAATTCTTGATAGTGTTTAGGTATACATTGTGTGACTTTCAAGAAATACTTGACGCTATAATATACTTCAATAATATACAATATACATAGGTTTTAAAAAACGCCTCAATAGCGAACGCACGTCTCTGAGCTCTCCATCTGCTGAGGTACTGAGATATATTGGTAAACAAAGATCCGCAAAAAAAAATTAACTGTTATAAGTTTTTTACTTTTTAAAATATTGCCATATTAAATGCTAATTCTGTCACAGGTCACACCATAATGTATCAAAATTTTCAAAAAAGAGTTAATGGAATAAAACTAATATAATATTTCGTCTTATATATACTTCTTAAAAATAATCATGCATCAATGAAATTCAACGGAATGCACGTGGTTATTTGAGGAACTCCTTGCAGCATTGCGGTATTGTTGGCAGGATACAGACAGGTGTTCAAACAATCGGCGCGGTTCAGAAAGTTATTTTGATTACCTCCACAGCCCGAGTACAAATATCGTTTACAGTTCCTACGAAGAAATGAAATACAGATTAGAACGATGTAATACATTATTCATATTTTATAACAACGTCAAAGAAACCAATGAAGATTGAGATTGAATACACTGTCTGGTTTTCTTCAATCTTGCTTGTTTTCTTAATATATATATATATATATATATATATATATATATATATATATATATATATGAAATAATTGGGGAGGCCTACGGCGGTTACACGTTCAGTATTTCATCAGTTCAGTCCGTCAGTCTGTTCAGAATGACCGCACAATTATCGTCTAACCCACGGACTGATGGTCAGGACTGATAAAAAATATTTTAGATAATTTTCGTCATTCCACTGTGAATGATGAAATACTGATGCGAGGCTTACAGTCAAAGTTGGTTTAGACTGACGGACTGAACTGATGAAATACTGAACTTGTAACCACCATATATCCACCGTATACGTTGAGCATTGAATTTTTGATATAAGAGATTTTTACTACAAAACAAATTTGCAGTTTTCGGCAATGAAAACTGTTTTAGTTTATTTTTATTGTTCATTTACCTCAGCACACACCAGCTCAGGATTTTGAATTTGACAGCCGTTTTATCCCACTGTTTTGTCCGTACATCCTATATCGGGTAGATCAGTTGATTGTTTGACTTATCCCTATAACTAGACTTTAGGAATTTGATGCAGCATTTACGAATGGTTAAACTACCGTTTGTCATATTTTTCGAGCAGGGTGCACCGTCTCAAACCCAAACAGGATCGCGCCTTATCGTGGCGGAGGGGCTTAGTAACCGTGGCTTGGTCTCCCACGGTGAACGAAGAGGAACTCACATGGCTGGCCCGAGGTGACGATCCGGCCCGAGGTGGCCACTTCGAGTGGGCTTGGCGAGCCCACTTCGGGTGTGTGTTGGTGCGCTGCGGCGAGTGGGGTATCTACCCCCTAACCCTGCAGCCGAGGTCGAGTCGCGGTGGAAGAGGAGTGTAGGTAAGGCGATGCGACACTCGGCCCTCTCCTCCGCGACACGAGATGGTGGTGGGGATGGGAGCAGAGGAATGTCGGTACTGCGACGCGAAACTTGGTTGACAGCGGAGCCATAGACCAGATCCACCGTTGCGGTCAGGAAAGCTGGTGCTTCTGAGTGCTCGTTTTTTCCTGACCCCATGACCTCCGCGTATCAGGTTCGAGGGCATCCTTTGCGCAAATGGAGTTGAGGCCACCGGAGAAGGGCGCCTTGAGTTGCTGGTGCGCTTTAAAGAGCGCTGAGAAGGAGAAGGGGAGGAGAAGTTCTCTCCCGAGAAGCGGCGGCTGGCGCTGGTGGGGTAGCGGATGTGTGCGAAAGTTTTTTTTTAGTTGGTATCATACTATTATTTTTTTAATTTGGAAGACACTGAATCTTCCAATTACATACCATATTACTATTAATATAGCTATGGCACTTATACGAGTATTATAGCATTGTGAATTATTTTCAGCTCTTCACTCTCAAAACATACAGCAGGCCTGTGCCCAGCAGTACAACCTTATTACTATATTACTATATATAATATACAATATTTTAGTTTTATTTATAAATAAGAAATCACGACTAAAGACTCAGCAATTGGTATGCCAACAGACGAGCATAAATTTATTGAACATTTATCCAGGTTAATTAATAGGTTTACTGTTAATTCTCACTTTGTAAGTTTATCCCATCCCCATCGATCGAATGAGCCGAAGCAAGTACCATAGTCAAATGATAAGGAACAATAATGAGGTATCTGCGCTGAAAAAGAAAAGAATGTAATAAAAATGAAGATTCATCAGCAATAATAAAGACAGGCAATATTAACGAGGTAATTGTATGTTGTATTTCACGAAATTTATTGAAGTCATTAATTATCTCTTTGTTGAATATATTTAATTTACAAACTATTATAAATATCGGTGTCAGACTTATGTCATTTCATTATTATCATTGAGATACTATTTTATAAAATTATATCTTGTATTATTTTTATCATTATCTGTACTGTAGAAATATTGGTTGCCAGGAAGAAATTGCTTTGCTCAATAAGACTGCCCACGCTACAGGAAACAAGGAAGGATTACGCTCTCCAGGATCCCAGCGTGAATAAGCAGTATTGCTGTGTTTCGTATGGTGAGTGTAGAGTACCGGAGAGCCTTTTTACTGGAAACGACATACTCTTCCTTGCTCTCCTCAGAGATGAGACTTTGCCAATCAGTGTGAGTTTACATATGTATTGGATGACTATTTTTAACCGTCTGAAAAAAAATAGAGTATAACAGGTGAACGGAATAGAAACCTATGACACTGATATTTTCCAAAAAAATAAAAAAAAAATATTTATGACTAAATAAATTAATTAATTAAAATTTATCGAAATTCAAATCCTATCCATCCTACTTTACGACCGGCAAAAAAACAATAAATTTAGTAGGCATCTTTGTCAACGTCCTTTCGCACGGTCACAGGCTCAACGGCAAAGCCGCACCTTCAACTCTCTTTTATGGCCCGGCCACACTAAGGAGAAATGCCGTTAATTATCGCGTTAATGGACGTTAAATGTAGGTGTGGCCACGAATTAACGCGATAATTTGACGTGCCGTTTCCCGTTTGCCGATAACTTGAGTGGCGGTACGTCAAAGGATTAACGCGCGAATTATCGCGTTGAAGCGGCCACACTACGTTTGTCTCATTGTGCACAGTGAGTGCCACGGGGTTGCACGTATGGCTGCGATGGAGTGGAGTAATGAAAAATCTTTTCGAGATTGAATTAAAAAAATTACTTCAAAATTACTTTAATTTACGGTATGAAACTAAGAAAAATAAGTAGGAGAAAAAAAAACAATTTTTGCAAGTCAAAATTCATAGTGTACAGTGGTACGAAACCCTGAGTACGTCTATCTAATTCGCACTTGACCAGTATTTATGATTGGCTTATTAGTTATTATTTCATTAAAATATATTTACGTTTGTCTTATTATTTAGCTTAAACCATTGGACGTCTTTCTAGTGCAATTTGGGTGCGGGAAAACAAAATAAAACATAAATAGATTTACTGTGTCGTTTCCTGTGCAATTTGTAGCATCCACCATCTTCTTTTTCTTTGTATTCTTTTTTTGTTTGTTGATTTTTTATTTTAAAGGATAGGGTGACAAACAAGCACACAGTCCACCTGATGGTATGTGGATGCTGTAGCCCATTGACATCTACATCTATCCTCGATTACGAATCAAAATGCAGATGCGTTGTCACCCGTGAGGTATAAGATGGAATGCCTCGTTTCCAGTAAAAAGAGTCTCCGGTTCTCTACACTCTCCATATGAGACACAGCAGCATTAAGCTACTATTTTACGCTGGTATTCTGTAAAGAGCGTGGTTCTTCCCCGGTTGAAACATTTAACACAGTTCAACGGTAAATTTAACGCCATTCAACGGCAAATTTAATACCGTTCGACGGGAAACGACGTTGACCGTTCAAGTGTAGCCACTCATTTTATCGCGTTAAATTTAAGGCAATAATTGTTGCGTTTATGTTTTATTGACGTTGCTCATTAGTGTAGCCGCAGCAATATTATCTAGCGTTTTCTCGCCGTTTCCGCGTGTGTATTGTTAACATGTGCCAATACTCCAATGTCGAGTATCTAACATTAACGAGTTAATCCGGTGATAGGTGCATAGGTCGCGGCTGATCTGTGAAATCGCCGGCGAGATCACCACACCTAACACCTCTAGACTTTTATTTCTGGGCCGAACTAGAACGATTAGTGTACACAAAAGAACCCCAAAGTGTTAGTGATTTAAAGCAGCGTATAATAGACGTATTTAATGTGATAAAAAGTGATCGAAGTTTAACAAGCAATTTATAAAGACTTTTATATGTTTTGAAGGAAACTGTAGACATACTGAATAATTACTGCCATTGCGCTAAAAAAGTAATTTTTATTTGTAAATAACAATAATGTAGTATAATTTTGTAAATATGTAGTTTGTAAATAAGTTGAAATCGATCTTTTAAATATTCCAAGCGCAGTATAAGGACAGAATAAAATTATTATTATAAACTATTTATCAATTCATTATAATGCAAGATAAAATTTAACATATAATTTTACTCAACTACAGTATATTGGATTGTCCTGAGCCCGTAAAACCTTAAAAAATAACAAAGATAATAATCGAATGAAACGAAAGGTAATTTTACCTACTTACTGTTTTCTGTTTCACATTTTTTTTGCAAAGAGAAGTGCTCCTTTTTTAAATCTTTTTCTTTTATCGAACAAGTTTTTTTTACTAATAACCAGTATACGCTGATTTTGCATTAGTAGGCAGTAACTAGTAATGGGAGGTTTATTTACACTGTACGCTTAAGGTCATTGGCATTATACTCGAAAAATCCTTTACCAACCAACGGCTTTACGCGTTTTCGGAGGCACGGGGTGAGACAACGCCTACTTCCTGACTCCGGGCAGCCACTGAGAATTTCTTTATCGGAAAAACTAAATACTTAGATGTTTTTGTCCCGACCCGGGATTCGAGCCCACGACCTCATGATCAGCTGTCACACTACTACAACCACTAGACCAACGAGCGAGTAAAAAAAAATTTATCAAAAGTGCCTAAATACTTATAAGAGAAAAATAATAATTTTTCGTAACATAAACACGTGCGTCAACTGACTCTAAAAATGTTGGTTGCAATACATACACATATATATATGTACTGGATATATATATATATACATATATATATATATATATATATATATATATATATATATATATATATATATATATATATATATATATATATTAAAATCTCATACTTACATGCCGGATAAGCAGGGTTGTGTTTACAGTAATCTATGCACTGGTTATGACTTTCAAATCTATTTCCATTACCCTGACAACCACCCCAAAAGAACCGGTAACATCTGCCTTGCTTCACATCATAGTACCACTGGATTATATCTGCTCTGCATGGCCCTGTATCTGGTCGTAGGAAGCAGGATTTGTGGCGTGCTGTAAAAATTATAGGCAACCCGTTGTTATATTATATTACATAACATACATGATAATTTTTTTCTATAGCATTGGGTGACAAACGAGCACACAGTCCACCGTAAGGTAAGTGGATGCTGTGACCCATAGACATCTACTTTTATGAAGACTAAATTAGAATGCCTCGATTCCAGTAAAAAGGTATATATATATATATATATATATATATATAGCATTACTAGTCTTAATAAAATGATATACGATAATGTTAACTTCGCGCATCTAATCTTCAAACTACACGTCTAAAGAATTTCAACAGTATTAGGCGCAGTTTTGTCGTGTAGGGTGAACCCAGGTTATAAGATTTCCGTCTTGAGTAAAGGACACTTAATGGTCGCCAAAATTTCTCTACTTTGTTTTACACGTATCATGCCAAATCATAATATATGAATAGGAAAAGCATAATTATTAGAATATTACATTAGTTCATTTCTCTCTTAGTGACTTGGTAGTTGACTTGCCCCTTGTTACCGGGTTAGATCTCTACGAGAATGGCATGGGTGCGATCGGTAGGAGCTGTTACACGTTACGTACGTGTTGTTGGCACGGTAATATTATATAGATAAAATTACCGTGACCCGGGAGTCCATTTACTTATTACTGAAAAACTGCTCATCAAAAGTAATTTAATATTTCTTTAACAGCTCTTATAGAGTTTGTAAAAAAATTCATATATTCTCTGTGATAAATCGATAATCATAATGTATATACACATAAGTTTTTAAATGTTATTACATAATATGTATACAACTCAAATCAATATAAAATGTCTACCACCTATATAAATGCTCTACCACCTTTCAATGCATTGTCAAATGGCATGCAAATAGCCTTCTTATTATATTGTCCTGATTTTGAGTTTCTCTTAGGATAGCGAAAATGTCCTTTTCTCTTTCTTCTTTCTTTCTTACAATTGGACAAACACAATAGAACTAATATTATTAGTAAAAAGAAATATTTATACTGGTATTTAAAAATATTTACATTTCCCGAATTGAACATAACCAACAGCTTGTTCAACTGTTATCAAAACCGGCAATTTCAGCTTTACTCATAAAAGTTTGCTATAAAAGTTAATAAGTAAATAAACGTTGAAAATATATTACTTATAAACATTAAAAATATACAATAACAAAACAATTCATTTTTTCAGTTTAATTTAACTTATTTGTCATATTACTAAGACTAATGATACGTAATGTAGTGTAGTGGCGGTTTAGAATACCCACTGGACCGATGGTAAACTGAGCCAGAAGATTAGCAGTAGCACCTTTCTGATAACAGCAAAATAACAATAAAAAACTGCAGTTGCTTACCCGTTCGACAACTTTGGCAATATACATCCCATGATGAGAGTTACGAAGAGACGACCTTCAGCACCCAGCAACCCCGCTATTCATGGCTACGGTAGCGACCATGGTAACGGCGGGGCAGGGGGTACTAATAATCCCCGATGGAGTTATCGGTTGCCACCTAAGACGACTCGACCTATATATCTGCAAGCAATTGTTATTGTACCACTCTGTAGTAACTGTTTTTCGATCCTCTAAAACAATTGTTGCGTAATGACCTGTCCTTCCGTAGAACGAGGCCACCATCTTTTTTCCCATGCTTCGACCTCTATTCACTTAAGTTGGCCAACTCCTCGGAATATACTCAGACAGCAGACTTTCCCTTAGTTTAAGGATCATAACAATAAATCCAGCTTTCGTCACCCGTAAGTATATCGAACACAGCACTTAAGTCACCTCCGTTAAATCTTTGAACCATTTCACGACACCAATCAACACGATGGAGTTTTGGGGCTCTGTCAAATTATGAGGTATACACCGGGCACAAAGATTCCTGACCGCTAAACGTTCATGGAGGAGTTTGTGCACTTGACTCAAACCGATGTCTAAGCTTGTCCGAATCTGCTGATAAGTGACTCTTTTGTCAGTCTCTATCGTACGCCGCAGAACACTGATGTTATCTTCAGTCCTCGCCGTAGAAGGCCGTCCCTCACGCAGTTCATCGGTGTGATTAGTACGACCACGTTTAAACTCATTAAACCAGTTGTAAACAGTAGCACGAAATGGGGCTTCATCATGAAAGGTCAATCGAATTCTATCATAACTCTCTTGTTGACTTAAATGACACGAAAATATTTCTCGCGTTAAATTCATGCTGACGTGACACAGACAATTTTCAATTTGCCGCCAAATTGTAAACAAATCTCAAATAAATAAAATATACATATACATACATAAACTTTCACGCCTGTCACCCAGAGGGGTAGGCAGAGACTACAGACTTCCATTTGGCACGATCCTGACACACCTCTCTTGCCTCCTTCACATCCATACACCTACGCATACATGCTCGTCGGTTAAGGGTACTCCTAATTTGGCCCGCTTTCAATAAATCACCAATTTGGTCGATAAATTTTCACCTAAGACGTCCCTTTCCGACTCTGCCATTCACTTCTGCACCATAAATTTTCTTTGTCACTCTTTCCTCATTCATTCTTTCCACATGACCAAACCACCGAAGCATTCCTTTCTTAATCCTGGTCACAACATCATCTTGCAAACCACACTCTTCTCTTATTACACAATTTATTACCCTGTCATTCACATTCAGCCCTAACATACTCCTTAACGACCGCATTTCTACTGCGTTTATTCTACTCTCGTGCTTCTTCTGCCACACCCAACTTTCACTACTATACGTTAAAGTAGGGACCAACACAGCATTGTGAATTGCCATACGTGCCTTTTTCGACACATTTTGACTCTTCACAATAGAGTGCAAGGCCCCATTTACTCTATTTCCCGCATTCACTCGTCCTTCTATATCCTTATCATATCTCCCATCCCTGCTAAATACGCAGCCCAAATATACAAACTCATCTACTTGCTCGATCAACTCCCCTTCTATTCTTATTTCACAAATCGTTTTACTTTCTTCTCTTTCAAAAACCATAACCTTCGTCTTACTTGAGTTCACTTTCATACCCCTTTCTTTTAATGATCCGTTCATTAATGTAACCATCATTTGCAACTCGGCCGCCGACGACGCAAGAATAACTTGATCATCGGCGTACAAAAGGCATTTGAGGTTAACTCACCCATTCTTAATCCGCATTCTTCAACTTTCAAATTTTGCAAACAACTGTCCATAAATAGGTTGAACAGCCACGGGGAAGTCACACAGCCCAGTCTGACACCTTTATGGATGTCAAACCAGTCCGAGTAGACCCCGTTGATCCTAACACAAGCACTAGAGTCCCTATAAAGAGACTCCAATGCCTGTATCAAGCCAGCACTCAACCCAGATAAGTTCAGTGTTTGCCATAGCAAATCCCTATCCACTCTGTCATAGGCCTTTTCCAAGTCCATGAACGCACAAAAAACTTTTGGTTTTTGGCCAGAAACTTCTCCGCGATCATGCGCATGGAAAAGACTTGATCTGTACATCCCATTCCCTTTCTAAATCCCGCTTGCACATCCCAAATTTTTCCATCAGTTTCTTTCATGACCCTTTCAATCAGTACCTTAGCATACAGTTTTCCCACAATGCTAAGAAGGCTAATGCCACGGCAGTTTTTTAGTCCTGCTGCGACGCTCTTCCTTTATATACTATGACTATCACGGCTTTGCACCAGTCTACCAGTATCCACTTCAGTTCCCATCATAAACTAAACAAGGTGTGCAGCAGGCCTGCCACCACTTCCTCTCCAGCCCTTAGCATTTCGAGTGAAACTCTATCATATCCGGCAGCCTTACCTGCTTTCATGCTTTTCATTGCTTTCATTATTTAATCTATACTTATCTGGCTACCTCTTTCCTCTTCTTTCGGTGTTTCTACTTCACTTAGTATACACGTTGTCTCCTCACTCATAAACACGCTTTCAAAATATTCCTTCCATCTCTTTAAACTCAAAACTTCATCATTCAGAATATAGCCATTCTCGTCTCTTATAGCATTCATCATAGGCTGTTTTGAATGTCCCCTGGCAGTTCATACAAGTTTCCAGAACATTTTAATATTTGCCTAGAAGTTATCCGATATTCTTCTATCATTCTTATCCGTACTTTCTTGCTTTTTTCTTTCAACTACTTCTTTTACTCTCTTATTAAGATGTCTAAAGACTGCCTTTTTTCTTTCAATATCACCATTCGTACCACTAGAATTACCAGCCTTTGTTGCTAGTAAATCTAGCCATGCTCTCTTCTTTGCTTCAACTTCCATACGTATCTCATCATCCCACCATAACGTATTATTTTTCCTTTCATTCTTTCTCTTACTAACACCACATACTTCGGTAGCTGCATCCACTAAACCTTTCTTTACATTTTGCCATATATTCTCCAAGTCTAACTCCTTCATACATAATTCATCCAAACCACTTATATTTTCTTTCAGTCTACATTTGAACTTGTTTTTATCACTTTCATCTTGTAAACTTTCTGTTCTAATACGCTGTAACGCAGTGGTAGACACAGACGATCGATGGCGCCAACGCCTGAATAGACCATTAATCTAAATAATGATCCGTTCCTACGTTAGAACCCCGGTAAACTCTCGTATCCACCACTGCGCCCCTCAATCTTTCATCCACAATTATGAAATCTATCATGCTTCTATCGTCACCTCTTTCCCAAATATACATATGAATCCTCTTGTGGCGAAAGCAAGCGTTCGACACAAAAAGATTCTTTTCCATACATACGGTGAGGAGACTTTCACCATTCTCATTTATACTTTCATCACCTAACGTTCCCAATATCCTTTCATAACCAAGCCTCCTGACCCCAACCCTTCCATTAAAATCTCCTAGCATAATAATATTTTCATTTCCCTTACACTTCATTAACACCATCCTTACCATTTCCCAAAACTGCTCTCGGATATAAGTGGCCTTAGACATGTCTGGGGCGTAGACCCTTAACACAAACAACTTCTTTAAGCCCACTTTCATTCGTATCCATAGCAGTCTTGGGCTTACACATTCATACTCTTTCACATATTGGCCCATTCTTTCTGAAAGGATGATACCTACTCCCTGGCATGCCCGCTCGATCTCGTCTACACCAGACCAGTATGCGGTATACATGCCATGTGTAGTGACATCCTTCCCCTTTCTTTTCGTCTCATTTACACATAACACATCATTCCTCTATCATGCATCATATCGCATACTTCATCCATTTTATCATTCATTGCCCCACATACATTCAACGTAGCCAGACGGGCCTCTGCAATCCACTTTTCGCCTCTCCGGGAGACAGAACGTGACGGGTGGCGAACCTCGTCGCCGATTTTAAAATAATTTTAAATAAAATATATACACAATAATATTGGCAAAGAGTTACATTTTCAAAATTTGAACTTATTTTTTATTATATCGTTTACACGTGGCCGGTTCTAAAAACTTTCAGTGACGCCCTCGTATTAACCAACATCGGTTAACAATCGATTACTGCGTAACAATTAAAATATTTATGTGTAGGTACTTATTTCAACACTAAGGTTCATAAATAATAAAAAATATTACAAAATAGATTATAATAAATTAATTAGATAACATAAAAATGACACACCAAAAATGTTCCATCCAGTTAACTCCATCCTAAGAAAACTTGTATTATGGAAGATCAAGATCGTTTAATCGCTATATTGGCAGTATCATAGCGCGAGCAAGTGAATAGATATGACAGAAATTATCGCTCGTGTAGTTCCTCACCCGTTTGGTGCGTAAAATACCTAAATTTGTGCAACGCCGAAATGTAAGAGGCCTCTTAATAATAATTATGTGGGCTATTAAACGTCGGCAAACAGTCAACATCAAAGGAGTGCAACTTCTGTACATAGGTATTACTATTAGGTATTTAATATTTATTCTGGCCTTTGATTTGGATTTTGTTTGGACCAATTTGGACTCAAAGATTTAGATAGAGCTATCTTTCGTAGAATTATCGTACATGGACCGAAATTATCGTACTTTATAAAATAATGTCCATCATAAATAAATAAATCATAATTAACGTAATATTGGTATATATGCAAGTACCCTATAGTATATCTCTTTAAATTTTGATTCGAAAGTGGTCCACAGTCACTTTAAAACCAACAGAACATAATTATTACTTTGACATCTGTCTGACTAAATATTTAATAGAAATTAATTGCTATTTTATTTTGCTAGGGGCTGAGTTAATTTAAGAAAATACGAAACTAACACCTATTTTATTACAATATTTACAGTATTGCGGCAGTTAAATATTCTAACACTATTGCACAACTAATGGGAACCTAATAGGGAGCTTGAGGGGTCTTCTTCCTTGCTTGTTCTTGTCTTGATCGTTGAGCTGCCGCTCTCTACTATATACACAATAATCTATGGCTGCCGCGAATGAATAAATCCCGTGTCCCTCTCTATTATCTAGATGTTAGTGCTGTTAGTCTGTGCGACTCTTACAGCTTCAACTTGTCAGGGCCTTGCAATTCCGTGTTCCGTTTTTTTTTGCGCCCCAAGCAATTAACGTGCTACCCTATACGTAGGGAGGCGGAAAATGCATTACGCATACCACGATAGCCGGTCTATCGTGGTTATGAGAGACTCACATCCTATAGGGGACCCTAAGTGATACCCTCTAAAAACCGCCTTTGGGGACAGGCAACCGGCTGATTAAGCTGTATTGTGCCTTATCATGAGCGACCCTCTTTTGGAAAAAGAGGGCGCAGGCGGCTACGAGCCGCTGAGGGAGTGCCTACGAAGGCAAATTAATTATGAGTAATAATTTAATTTAATTAGAGTTGGCCTGGGCCGCCAGGAGGCAGTTCAGGTCGTTTGTTAGTTTATTAGGCGGGTCCGAGAGAGAGTTTCTCGGCCTGCGGACTCGATAGCGAGAGGGGGTGGGGCTGCATAAGTAGCTGCCTCACGAATTAAATGGTTTGAGTGCGACTCTGAGGCTTTGAAGAAGTTCTCAGAGTTTTTGGAGAAATTGTTGAATTTTGGGGAGCTCTAGGTCCCGATGAAGGTCGGCATTACGGACGTACCAAGGTGCGTTCGCAGCTCGACGACAGAAAAGGTTTTGAACTATTTGGAGTTCATTAATAATTTTAGGGTCGGCGTGGGCAAAAACGGGGCCCGCGTAGGACATGCCTGGTCGTATACAGACCTTATAAAGGGTACGCTGGTTTCTAAGGGACATTTTACTGTGTCGGCCCAACATGCTGTTGAGCCTACTCAGATAAAAACGTGCGTGACGGGTTACTCTTTTGACGTGGGGCCTGAAAGTGAGCCCTGTGTCTAGAGTGACACCTAAATATTTGGCAGTCGTATGCCAGGGGACAGGGGTCCCTAGCATACGTATTGGTGGAGTGTTTTTGAGACGGCGTCGTTTATAATCGAAGTGAACGACGGAGCTCTTCTCCGGGTTCACATGACATGTTCACAAAGCAGTGTCGTCAGCGTGAAGCGGTGAACAGGATGTACAGCAGAGGAGCAAGTACTGAGCCCTGAGGGACACCAGCTTTGATAATTCGCTGTGAAGATAGCGTGCCTTCGTGTCTAAAACGAAAGGTACGATGTTTAAGAGGCCACGAGACGTACTAGACGATCGGGGAGACCTATTTTGCACAGTTTGTAGATAAGGCCTGTATGCCAGACTCTATCGAAGGCTTTAGCTATGTCGAAAAAGACCGCGATGGTCTTATGACGACGAGGATAAAAACCGCTGAGGATATATTCCACAATACGGCGAACTTGTTGTGGACATGAGTGTTGCGCTCGGAAACCGAATTGATGGGACCCGTGTTTCGTATGGAGCGCGTCTTATATTTCCGCCGTCGGTGTTACGTAGGCACAGAGTTGGTATAAGCTCGTCCTTGGGGGGCCTTGTTCTAATGCGGGGTGCAGGAGACGCGTCGAAGCGGGTGAGGTGTGCGGGGTAATGGGTGGTCGCTTCTTCGCCCTTCGTAACAGATAAATAAAACGAAAGAATTTTTATATATTATTAATATATACTTTATTAAAAAAAGAACAAAAAATATAATTACTCTATTGTAATATAATATTTATGTAATCAACATGTTTATAAACATTCAAATTTCGTTATATCAATTTAAAATCTTGTGGCATTAAAATACTATTCAAATCCTCTACATCCCTGTCACCATGCAAATCTTGAACCGTTCTGGCAGTGCTTTATCTTGTGATTGTTTTATTATTTAGGTTGGACCGAATATGGATTTCACCGAATACGAATATTCGGCCAAATGTTCGGTAAAACTTTTACCGAACCGAATATTCGACCACACAACACACAACAACCAATTTATGTCGAAACTTGTTACCGAAGAGCGCGCGGGATTAGGGCCGGACCCTACCTCTCGCTCCCCACCACACCAGAAAGTTATTGCATCATCTAGTACTGAACAAAATTGCCGGCACATGCTTATGTTTTGACTATTTTTGTGATAAGGAAATTTTTCGCTGCTTTATTGTTAGTGAAAATTTATAATTATATGATAAAAATGAGCGGCAGGAGATTTACTATTTGGACTTATTTTAGAGAAACTGACGACCATAGGTAAAATGTTTCTTTGTTTGATTCCAAAAACATTTTATCAAGTTTCTATTTGCTACAATCAGAAATAAATCTACTGTGCCTCACAACATAAATGTAAATGCACTCTAGAGTAAGTATATATAACCCATAAATAAAATATACTTTCAACAGTAAAAAACATCGCATTACTCAATTCGTACATTTGAATACAGTGGACACTATGAAAATGAATATTCGGTTATTTAGCCGAATATTCGGACATATAGGAATATTCGTTAAAGCTGCCGAATATGCCGAATACCGAATATAAAACGAATATTCGACCCATCTCTATTTATTATAAGAGAACACCGTTTACCGTCGCAGTTACTATTTTATTGCGAGACATAGTTTTAATTAAGTTGATTTGGCTGAATATGTATTCGCTGTCAGCATTTGAATGTGGAAGTGAAATTGCTTCGAGCACAAGTTTTTGAAGGTCTTTGCTAGGATCAATATCTGCCGGGAGCTCAAAAGACGATTCCTCAATTGATACAATGCGAGCCAAAGCTTTCATTAAGTGCAGCACACCGGGGGCAATACCCCTTGTCTTTCTCAACATTGCTTTCAACAGATTCAGATTTGACACTAATATTAAAACAGGATACGAAAAATCAGTCCTTTTTAATTTCTTTAGAGTCTTTCATCACAAAATCTACACAAGATGTTGCGGAATCTGATTTTAATTTTTCATTGTTGCGAATTTCCATCTGATCTAGCATTTTTCCAACTTCAATGCCTTAGTACCTATTTTCCGGATGTAAGCGATATGACTCATTGCATGGATCTAGATCCTTTCAATTGGTCTGATAAATATAATATCTGGACATGTATATTTCCAAAAGCTCTTGATAGTTTTTACACATCCTATCATGAAGGCTCGAAATGACTACCGACTGTGACTAGAAGAGTTCATTTAGTTTGGTGAATTTAGATAGTATAAAGTCCAGAAAAAATAAAATAGTTTTATGATTGGATTGTTGAGACCTAGGACAATCTATATTCAACAGATATCACTTGTATTGTCAGCATTTAGTTTCTAAAGTCTCGCCACTGTTAAATTATCCTAGTAACAACCGCTTTTAAAGATAACCAATGCCTTTGCATTGGGCGAGGAATTTTGTGAATATCAATGTCTAGAAATGTTTGGGACTTTTTAAAGAATTGCTGTCATTTTGTGCTGTTTTTTAAAATTCACCATAGACATTTCGAGCCAGATTTTCACAGCTCCTTAGTCATTTTTTACATGGATTGCTGGCACAAAGATGCAATGAGTGACATATACACTTGAAAATTTAGTTGCCAGGGAAGGTACAGCATTTTGCGAGCAAACTTGAAGCTACCGAGTTATTTTTTCCCATCATTGCACTAGCTCCATCTCAAAAAATCCAATAATATTCTTCAATGGAATCTCGTAATCTTCCAAGGAAATTATAGGCAAGTCTGGTTTTCTTTATTCGACAGGGCATGTTGCATCATGGCAAAGAATGACAGGCTTGGCTATACTCAGCACTATTTATAGTAGTGGACTCATGAAACTTATGTTTATATTTACTATATACTATGAGTGGCTTCAAGTAAATGCTACAGATATTATTAATGTATTATGAATATTTTTTTTATAGGAAAGGGTGACAAACAAGCACACAGTTCACCTTTTGGTAAGTGGTTGCTGCGGCCCATAGACATCTACATCTATCCTCGATTACAAATCAAAATACAGATGCGTTGTCACCCGTTAGGACTAAGGTGGAATGCCCTGTTTGCAGTAAAAAGGGTCTCCGGTTGTCTACACTCACCATACAAAATACAGCAGCAATAAGCTACTATTTCACGCTGGTATTCTGGGAGAGCGTGGTCTTTCCCCGGTCGAGCTGACCCTTTCATGCTACAACTATACTACTAATATAACTGCAGCATGGCTCTACCACGTATAATTTACCTGCATTACTACTTCATTGGAGTCAATCCAGTCTTTTGAATCTCATCGATGTCTCAAGTCTTAAGATCTGTAATCAAATATATAAACATATAGCAACTTTGTATGGTTTCTCTTGGGTGGTTAACTAAACTGTAAGATACTAACCTTTATTACATAATTCTGGCTCCTCAGGCAAAATAACTTGAGCCTCAGCTATGTTATGGCTTTCTAAGCTATCTGAGGCAACACTATCACTGTCAAAACAGTTGGCAAGTCCAACAGCACTTGTTTTAATCAAAGATATGATTTTTGAATCTAGAGTATTTTCTTTTCTGGGATTTGCTGGTCCTCCACCTATACATGGTATAAAATGGTTAAATTAAAAGTATTTAAAGTATGCTATCTCTGCAGTGTTCATTTAAAAAATATTACATCTATAAATAACAATCCTACCACGTAGGAGACCAAGAAAATAAATCACTTGTTCAGGCCGCAGCATTGTACTACCAAGTATTTATAAATAATGGTACATGATTTAAGATCTTTGTGATAAGCATGTTGCGAGTAATGGTTAATAATATATAAATGTATGTAGGCATATCTCAGTCCACTGCTGGTCCAGCTCCAGCTACAAGGTCATAATTACGCCTGTCCATATCTCTCATGTATACCGAATATATATAGGTTTTTGCCTAAATAACTGAATCAACACGAATAATCATAAGGTAAGATAGGATAACAGCTCACGTTTGGATTCTATGCATCCTCTTTGCCATCCTTTTGGCCTTTTTTTTCATATATTCCCACTAATTTTTTACATTTTCTGCTGTTCTGCACTCGTGTGTACAGTTTGACTATTATATTCGCGGGACATATTTTGCCATTCAATTATATTCATAATTCATAATTTTTGTTTTATCGTACCACCGTCTGTTTTTTTTTTAATTTTCAATGACAGGAAAATGTTTTTCTACGAGTTCCAACAACAAATTCTTTTCCGAAGGTAAGGTAGCCAATTTGGGCTACGTTTCCTTTTTTCTGCAGATATTTTATTTGAAAAGAAGATAAAAAGAATTTAAGAATTAAGAATAATATTCAACAGACAACTCGTATTTATTACAAGTACTCGACCTAATTGTGTTCAGTGACAGTTGATACCATAGATAAATAAATATCATAGATAAATAAATATGTAGCAAGCTACAGATACGACAGCGACTTTTAGTCAAGTTTCCCAACTACGCCTTTTGGCGCTGCAGTCGCCCAATTTGACAGATGAGTAATGACGTCATGACTATACAATTTAGTATAACTTAGGGATTGCAAGCACACAGCCTTCTAATTATCGATATCGATGTTTAGTGGTGTTCTTATTTTGTCGATATCGACATAAGTGCATTATACAGGAATAATAATACTTAATGAAACAATTATAATACATCTAACTTATTTATTTTTTATTCAAGCACACCAACATCATATACATACAAACGTAATCTTAGGATTAAATTAAAGGCACATTAAGTCATATATACAAATTAGAAAATTGTACATAACATTTTACATAAATAAGTACAATTTGACGAAACAGAGCAATATTTACAGTTCATTAAATAAAGCAAATTAAACCACAGGAATCATATTTAAGTGCTTAATATTTTACTTTCAAGTCATTTTTTATTAGAAGCAATGCTATTTATTTTTCATTAGGGGTAAACCTGGGAATTCTTTTACAAAAATTAAAAAAACATCTTCTCTTCTTTAATTTCATTTTCTACACCACGTAACCTGAAAAGAAATAAATAAAAATAAAGTTCAATATTCATATTTTATGACTTAATGATAATCATAAATTGTATATTATTTATATTAAGCTAACAAAGGGTGGCATCATGGCAGTTGCCATTTTTTATTGGTCAACCCATGGTGTGGTGAAAATAAAGTGGTAGATGCAGTAAATAAGAAATAAAAAACATATAAAGATTAACACTGTATACATCCATTATCAGGAGATTTCTCAATGTCTTCAGGCACGGAGTTCCAAATAAGTGTAACCTTAATACTAAAGGAGTTGTTGATAAAACCATTGAAGTGTAGTGGAACTGTAATCTTTAGATTTGATGAAGAACAAAGAACTCTTACCGTGATTTGAGGATAATATGCTGAATATAGATATAATAGATATGTTGAAACTTACTTAATGTCTAAGAATAAACTGAATTTATCATACCTTTTCGCCAATGTGTACATTTTGTATCTTCTGTCAATATTTGTCTCACCACATCAGCATTAGATTTCTGTTTCTGAAAACCAACAATATTTGTGAATTTTGTTCTTATACATAAACCCAAAATTAAAGAATAAATATATAATGTATACTTCTGTATTGTATGTATTAATGCTGTATGGCTACTGTTAACGACAGTTTAGTATAATCATAATTCAAAAGTGATCTATATTATCATATAACTTAATTTTTAGAATTTTATTTCACCACCGTCATCATTACAGCGCTTCACAAGTCCACTGCTGAACGTAGGCTTCCCCCAAGAAATGCCACAAATCACGGTCCTAAGCCTAAGCCTATACAGGTCGTGAATGATACACTTAAAATTATTAATTTTTTATTTATACATTTTTATTTTAATCTTTTAATGTATTCACTTTGATAAGATAACAAATAAAGTGGATGTCGTCAGAGGAAGAGTTCCAGAAAAATGTAACCTTAACAGTAAAGGACTTGTTGATAAAACCATTGAAGTGTAGTGGAACTGTAATATTGGGATTAGGTGAAGAACAAAAAACTCTTATAGTGATTTGAGGTAGATATTGAAACTTTTTCTAATTATGTCTAAAAATAAACTGAATTTATCATACCTGTTTGCTTTTTTGTACATGTGCTACCTTTTGGCATCATTTGTTTCACCACATTAGTATTAGAATCAATTCCTGAAAAGAAGCAATAGTTATGAATGTTATGGTCTTAAACATAAATTAAATTTACAATGTATGCTTCTCTGTATTGTATGTCTAAATTAAATACACGTAACCATCCTCTAGAACTCATGCAGTTCCAGGTATGCAGTGACAACTCCAGTCCACAGCCTGTTTTTAAGCATTTAAAGTATTTTTTCTATTACCCGATATATAAGTACTTCTTTTAATTTGATCCCTACATAAATGTATAAAAAATTATGTCCAATACAATTTCCCATACCTTTATTTTCAACAACTGTTGCAACAGTTGAAAAATTTGAACATGAAGGCTGTTCATGAGAATTTCCAACATCTGAAATTTGTTACAAGATTGCATTTTTATAGATGTCAGTATGATTAGGCAAACACATTATTAGAAAATGAATGGTTAGTAAATTTATGAAATAGTTAGAAAGCTTTTTTTGCTACTTAGTAACTAGTGCTACATGAATATTAGTACACACCTGACGATCCAATCTCTACCGATGATTTGGAACAATCATTTTGCTCTTTGTAGTAATTGTGTTCAATCGTAACATCACTTCCTGAAAACATTATTCAAAATGTTGAAAAATTTGCCACTGACTGTAATTTAAATAAAATATTTTTAGAAATCAGTGTTCATCATAATATGTTTACTAAATGATTTACAATTAACATCAATTAAGATATTTGTACATACCAGGCTTTCTAACCACTAACACAGCTTCTGTGAAATCATCTTCATTTTGCTCTTTACGGTAATTATGTTCAGTTGTGACATCCCATCCTGAAAAAATTACACTATCATAGCAAATAATGATGTAGAGTCAATAACACTTACAAATGGTCGTACTTTTATCTTGTTAATACTTGGGCCCAAGAATGTATAGAGACGTCTCCTTCTCTTTTAAGTACCATGGTTGAAAGTAATAAAATAACTCACCAGTTGCAGTCAGAGGCACACCATGAGCTATTTCATTGTCAGTAAGCAAGGACGGGTAAGAGTATCGAAGTCTTCTGCCTTCATTGCCGAACTGAAATACATCAAAATGTTTTTCACAGACACGTTTGTTAAGTAACTGTTCTTTGGAAAGTACAATGAGCTGGGGATTTGTCGGCACTATGAAAGCCATCCACAAGTTCCTTAGATTATCGTTCCTAGGGAATCTGAAAAGCCGGTGCGTTTCACGTGTTGTATTGCAACCACCAACACAACACTTTTCGTATACCATTATGATGATATATGCAATATTCACACGAGCAGCACAAAAACAGAATATTGTAATAATTGAGAAAAATTTAGATAAATAATGGCGGCAAATGGCGGCAATCAATATCGATAGTTTTGACAATATGATTTGACATTAATAGAATATGGCGTCTCAAAATGGCGTCCGTAGGCAGAGTAAAAATTGCGACGGTAGCGCCAAGTTGCGTAGAATGGAACTAAGCTGTCACGGGCCTGATAAATATGTAGCATGCAAGCTAGTTGATACCATATAGTAGGGATGTTCGATATTCACCGATGTTCGATGATCATCGATGTTAAAAATTAAAACATCGATGTTTTAACATCGATGCTGCCACATGTCAAACATGGAAACATCGATGTTAATGAACACATAATCGATAAAATAAGAACTTGTGTACAATGAGAACCCGCGAAATCAATATCAACTAAATCTTTCATCTCCTATTAAAGGTTTAAAATTTTGAAAAATATCATTATGGTGTGTCAAATTTAATATATCCTTTTTCTATAATCAGAGAGTCGAGTTGATATGCAAAAACGACGTCTAAATCGTAAATTAGGTTCCATAGTTAATTTTACATACCGGATTTATGAGTGTATAGGAACATTCAAAGTTCAAAATAATAACATTCATTATCATCGGCAAAAAACATAATAAATGAACTAGATATTTGTACACTTCTGCCATTTTCTTTAATTACTGTTTGACACTATTTTTTATTAAATTATTTTACTTCATTAATAAAAAACCATAAACAAAATTTACTTATATTTTTTTATTCATCTAATGTTAAGCTATTAAATAGGTACGTGTGCAAAAACATCGATAATTGATACAAACATCAATGTCATCATCGATGTTTCTGCAACATCGATCATTTCTACACAAAGGGCCGATTTATACTGCGACAAGTATCAAGTACAGTGGCGAGTTAACTTGCGAACCTAGCGAGTTAAATAGCAAACTAACAATTAAGTTTAACGGGATAGACGTTCGGTCTATATTTCGGCGAGTTAAGTCCGAAGTATTGCCCTCCGTCTCCCGCCACCCGCAACTAAACTAGCTAGCTAAATATTTATTTATCTATGAACTAAACACGTCATTCGGCGTTTACTTAAATGCAGTGCATAAGTTGATAGGACGCAACGTGTTCGCCTTCAACCCTCAGAATAGAAAATGTTACTTTTTTAGCTAAACTCGCCATGAAGATATTTGCACGTTGGTCCACTTAACCGTTTATTGTTAACTGCCCTGTAACTAAACTCGCTACTGTACTTGTCGAAGTGAAAGTTGGCTATATTATAAACAGGCAAACTGTAAGTATACAGAAAGTATTAGAATGCGCTATATAAACAATTGTATTTCGATTTTCGTTGGCTTACATATTCGTTCATTATTCATCCTTCAAGTCTAGAGTAACAATACCCAGTATTAGCAACTCTACGTTTGTGTTGGAAAAATGGGAACGAATTTATATGAGAGTAAGACAAAAGATTAAAATTAATCGAGGGTTAGTTACTCTGGAGTAACATGGTATTTGGTCGAATCCGCCCTTAGGCTATCAGTGTATATGTAAAATAAAATAAATTCTCAAATTTTGCATCATGATGGAAATTATCGTGCAATATACTCTTTGACGATGGTTCTATATGTCATAAAATTATTCATAAATTATCAGCGTTGCCTACAACAATTTGTCAAATTCCTCGAAAATCCAAGTAAAGTGTCCCAAAAATCCAAGCCAAATTCCCCATTTTGGGGACAAAAAATCAACAGATTCTCCACAAATTCCCCTCAATTTTATTTTAAGAAGTGAAACAAGTTTCAACGAAATTTATATGATTATTTTTAACCTTTACACAATTAGACAATATATTATACAAATTACACATTAGAGATGATAGATAAAAATTCTATACCCAGACCTACCCATTTCTACTTACGTATCATATTAATACAATGCCATACATTAAATAAATGTATCAATTAATACCTAAGCCATCCAACCTTAGATGCAAGTTTTATAATCCATATAAAACCAAGAACGACGCTGCTTTAAACAATATACGTTATTACTCGTAACTACAGAACGAAATTTGCTCCTTGTTTCAACATTGTATGTTGGTTCATTCGCGAGGCTTAAATATTCAATTAGTACTGGACAATATTCAACTGGTATAAGTAATTATACGAAATATAAATTAACAAATAATTCCGCAAATTTTATTTTATTATCCGTTCGTTTATTTCTAGTATTATAGAAAACTAATCAGCTGTTACGTCTATATATTTGCCTATTATATATAACGCCTATTATGATTCTTAACAGGTCGGTCGGAATAAACAGAATAAGCTATGTCGTTTATACAAAATAAAATATTTGCTTCTATTTTATGCACTGCTTATCAGATTGCAGAAGAACTTTGTCAACTTATTGCTTGCACTTGCGTGACGATTGTAGGCATAGTACAATTAATTTACAATAGGTGGCGCGCGTATCATACTGACAATTTATTAGAAAGTTATAGATCATTCAATCTCAATGATTATATTATCATTCCTAATTAAACAACATAACCCTTCCAAATGTAAAACGATATTTCTACAATTATTTCCGCTGCCGGGTATCATCATGTAGTCGTTACTAATTTATAACTTCATTTTCAAAATTAAAATTATTATCATACAGTCCTACTCCCCGCGGTATAGTGCCAAAAACGCTGGCTCTATTTTCTCTCTGAATGGCTCTCTGAATACTTACCCTTGAGCAATAAAATAAGCAGCCCCTTTATCACCATTTTTTCGGACCTTCACCGCACGCCACCCCACGAACCGATAGTCCTTGCAGCAAATGGCACAAATATGTACTCATCTCGTAGAGACTCATATTTGGGCTACTTACTTAGTTTAGTTGCCTCTGATGCCGCCCCTGCTTTTAACGAAGTATGCCTAAGATGAGAAGCTGCCGAAGTGTCTTCGCAAGTATTATCCCACACTAAAGCTTTATCTTTGTCCCAAGCATCCAAAGTCATACCAAGGTTTCACATGTTTGATATACATAATGCGTATTATATGCCAATTATTATAATGCCAATTAACAGCTATGTATTATGATCTACGTTAGTACTCTTATTAGTTTGTGATTATGATCTGTTGCTCAAAGTTAAAAGAAAGTAAAAATATAACAATTTGGTACTGAATATACCGAAAACAACGATTTAGTAGTTAAACTTCCTACTCTATCGTGACAATAGATCATTACTTAGTGTGCGATTAATAGAGCTAGAATATCTAGGCTGATATTCAGATACTAAATCTATCTCAAAGAAAATCTCAAGTTTAAACCCAAACTCCACAATGCCAAATTGGAGTCAAGTCCATATATCGTATCCACAAATTTTGAGTTGAGCTTAAAGACGGAATTGTCTCCAAATACCGTTTATCCCTTAGTGTCCTCATTATGATACTTTAATACCTACCCTGAGTTACTAACCTATGTCTATGGATACAAAAATAAAAGCATAGATAAAGTATTCTTTATCTATGGATAAAGGAAAAGGACTTAGTACTCTTATTAGTTTGTGGAAAAGGACCAACTTTGACATTGACAAGCAATCCTTTCTGACTTAATAGTGTCGGCAATATGTAGCTTCAAATAGTTTTATCGATTTATTGGTTCATCGATGAGCTTTGTATAAAAAGCAATATGCCTCCTTGTTACAATATTTTTAAACACATTACACATTGCTAACGTACAATATAGAAAATGTACATTTATTTTGAAATTATAGGTGTCAAAAATTAATTTGCTCAATTCCGCGTAGTAAAATAAAATGATTTGGCTCACCTAGTTGAAAGAACACCTCCAACCCATCCTCAATCAAAAATTAAGAGGTCAGTTACCGCAATTCAGATAGGGCGGGAGAAGTGCTCTTCAAACTAGGTGAGCCACATCGTATTATTTTATTCCGTGGAATTGAGCAAATTTATTTTTGCACCTTTTATATAATGAATTTACTGATTCTCTTAACATTTATTTTTAACCTTATTCCGACCCCTTATTCCGACCAAAAGGCATGATATTATCCAAACTTTCTAACGAGAGTGTTCTTTGAAATAGGCTATTTAAATTTTTAATAGATTCCTTAAAGCATAAAATCGAGGGATCATTCGGTGAAACATCTGAGTTCAACCTTGACTGTTGTTACCCTGCCAATTTTATCGTGAAAACGATTATAAATAACTATCATTAAATCAATTTCGTAAAATCATTATGGAAGAATATTTTTCTGTTCCTGTCAATTGCTCAGCTTTTTTTTACAATGGTTTTAAATATTTTCTCATTACCATTGTTTACCGTCATTTATCGAAACCATTGTCATAGTTTTTTAATCATTTGCAAATTATGAGTGCTTAGCATCGGTAATGATTGATTTAAATACTCGTTTGAATGTGATAAAATTTTTGTTGTTATACCTAAACAAGTATTTAAATCAATGTCGACAAATGGTATGGTATTACTGTGTTTCGGTTTAAAGAGTATAGAGAGATCTTAGTCCACTGGTAATTTACGCTAGTTGTTTGATGGATTATTTTACTATTTACTTCGTAATTTAATTTTTTATAACATTTAATAACGAAATGAAATTTCATTTTTCCCAATTTTCATAGCTTTTAATATAATAAAATTATTTTTGTTACTTTAAAAGCTATGAGAGAAAGGTGAAGCTTAAAATTAAAATATACTTAAATATAATTTATCATCAGCATCATCATCATCCTCATTACAGCCCAGCAAAAGTCCACCACTGAATGTAGGCTATAACGAATGCCGCAAAGCCATCTAATCTTAATTGTAAAATAAGAATCAAAGTGGTCAAGAAAAATCACCCTCTCTTTTTATTTACGTTATCCATAGAATCAACAAGCACTTAGCAATCAAGGTGACAAATGTAACCTTATTTATCTTCAAAGTCTTG